TTGGTGGGGACATAGTGTTTTGGCTTTCCATTTTATTATTCTTTCATTGTGATTTTGGCATGTGAATTTCCATTGTTGTTTATGATTCTGATATGAGAATTCCTATAAATGTAGATGACACTGTACAAAATGTGTTAATTATAGAGTTAATGGGTAGAGTATTTTCAGGGTTTTTAAAAAGTAAAATTTTCATCTTTTCACTTATAGGTAAAAAGCGCAGACTTACCATTATTGAATGTGGGTGTGACATTAATGTTATGATTGATCTAGCTAGAGTCGCAGATCTGGTAAGTCAATAGAGCCTATAAATGTAGATGACACTGTACAAAATGTGTTAATTATAGAGTTAATGGGTAGAGTATTTTCAGGGTTTTTAAAAAGTAAAATTTTCATCTTTTCACTTATAGGTAAAAAGCGCAGACTTACCATTATTGAATGTGGGTGTGACATTAATGTTATGATTGATCTAGCTAGAGTCGCAGATCTGGTAAGTCAATAGAGGGGGCCTGGGTTTTTAATGGAGATTATGACAGTGTACTGGGTCAATTATCCCATATTGAAGGGAAGAACTTTTGTGATTATTAAGAAATGGTATCATGAAGGACAAAGTAGATGTGTTTGAAATTGCATTTGTTTTTTGGGGGGACAGGGTCTCATTATACAGCTTCAGCTGGCCTGAACTTGCTATGCAGACCAGGCTGGCCTCAAACTCATAGAGATCTACCTGCCTCTGCTGGAGTGAGTGAAAAATTATAATAATTGTTATAATGGTCAGGAAGGGCAGAGGCAGGAGGATCTCTATGAGATCGAGGCCAGCCTGGTCTACATAGTGAATTCCAGACTGGCTGGGGCTCCAGGAGAAACTGTCACAAAAAAAAACCTCCAAAAATGGGATGTGCATTGCATGAAGATGTGTTCTAAAATCTAAATGCAACCATAGGATTGATATGATAATGAACATACATGAAAAAGAACATTTGTATCTATATGTACATGTATGTATACCCACATATCATGATGCCTAGCATTTCTTGAATCCTTTGTAGGCAGCTTTCTGTAATTTAGCTCCCATAGTCACCAATATGCACATTTAGATTTTATATGCACTTTATATATGATGAAATTGAGGCTGTCAATGGTTGTCTCAGGGTGAAACTCTTTGCTCTTAGTTGTGTCAGAACTTCCATTCTTTTCCTTTATTTAACTTTTATCATTTTAATTAGTTTATTTATTTATTTGTGGTTTTTTGAGACAGGGTCTCACTTTGCAGCCCCGGCTGACCTGTAATTCACTATGTAATCTAAACTGGCCTCACAGAGATCTGCCTGCCTCCACCTCCTGAGTGCTATCAAAGGCAGGCACCACCACACCCAGCTCTTTTCCTTTTTATAAGGTGTAATTTTCTTTTTAAAGAATACTTTTTGTTATTGCTTTTTCAAAATAGGTTTCTAGAACTCTGATCATTCTCATCCCCCATTACCCTTCCACATTCCCCTCTACTGATGAAATCCTTCCTTCCAACTTGCCCCCCCTACTTTGAGGTCTTTGTATTTATTTATTTTACCCATTAGTTTAATTATGGTTGCTTGCATGAGTTGGTAGTTATTTACTGGAACATGGGCAATGTATCAATGACACCTCTGCCCAGCATCCATTAACTGCCCATAATCCCTCCAAGGGGAGTAGATCTTCTGAGTATAGACCTGGCCATCATGCCTAGCTCTAAAAGCAACAAATATTTTTATTTAATTTATTAT